TAAGAACAATTAAATTCTGTTTCCATTGCTTTATTCCAGGCACTTTTTTTTTCATTTCGAATAATGCATCGCTTTTTTTAATCTCTATTAGCATCCTTTTTTCCTCCACAAGCGATATGAGTTTTTCAGTTTCTTCTCGCGTAAAATTTACGCTTCTGTTCCGTTTTTCATCCATTTCTACTATTCAAATTCACATACATCATACTACAGTGTCAACACTTTCAAAACCATCCACATAACAATTATGGTTATGTCGATGTACAAAACCCACAGAACTCTAAAATTAGCAACGTTGCCACTTATTTCAACTGATGAGCTGTTAGATATCTATCTCTCAGATATTATAACAGAAACTTTGGTGGTATCCAGTAGATATTTTATCTACCACATTGTTATCTAAAACTTTATCAGTCACTGGTGAAACAGGCCCTTACTGTTTTTGAATTTGATATTTACAGTTTTCTACAATTGTTTTCAAGCATATCTGCAGTTTTGCTCTATGCTGGGGTTGGCAACAATGTCTGTCTCTGTTCTCTGGTTTTGTTTTTAATGTACGATGTCGGATGCGGTAAATGAAAAATGACTATTTGGAATTTCTTATTGGTTTTATACTTCATTAGACAATGAAGTTGTAACTGTAATTACTTAAATATTATCTACTATCTGTATGTGATTTCACTAGCCACTTATTAGTAAGTTATGATCTACGATATAAAATATGAAATTTATATTTAAATATTTTTCAGGTTATGGATAACATTAAGAAATATATAACAAGTCTCTTGACTTCTACACCCTTATCGGTGACAATGCAGCAGTTGAACAGAGATTATAGGGATACTATTGGTGAACCTATTCCTTACCAGAAGTTTGGGTTTAACTCTCTTGAACATTTTCTACGATCAATTCCTGAAATTGTCCAGGTGAGTTGGATGTAACAAAAACACTTCCTCCTCATACCTCAAGTATAAAGCTCTGCTCTTTGCTCTTTTTACTATCTGATTTGGTGTTACCCGAAGGTGATCTATTCATGAACACTTACTTTCATTTATACCTCTATAATTTTTCATGTTCTTGCCCGACACGTCCTAAGAGGAACGTGTCGGGAATCGTGTAGCTTCATTAAGGGAATTTTTACTTTTTGCAAACTGGTTTTGGTAATGCATCTTTTTTTGTGGTTCAATTTTCTGTTATAACTTATACATAATTTTAATTTTTATATATTGGCCATAATGGTGAGATAAACTTGAGTCGATAGCACCTGTTTCAAATGAATTTTTGTCCTGTATATTATAGGGTAGAGGTGGGGAATGCCGGCTGCCTGAGCTATTTTTCAATTATTTAATTTTATAGCTAGTAACCTAAGAAATGAAATTTATTGTATCAAAATGAAGAATGAAAAAAGTGAGAAAAAAAAAATACAAAACTGTGTTTAAACTCATTCAGTCACTCCCTTCCACATTATGGTAATAGTGGCCTAGGCCTCCATCGTCTGGTACTAGAATATACATTACCTTTAAAGGCCAAAAATAGCAAATTTACCCACCCTGTTTATTGTCCGCACAAGCCTTATGTGCCCACCTGCCATACACCATGCACTGCAACCTCAGCTCTTTTCCAATATCAGGACATATTAAACAAATATCTTTATAAACTTTTTTTTCACGTGAGTTGTCACTATATTCATATTTTTTTTCTGAAATGTCTATTTTTATCGCCAATGCTTCTTTGCAGGTTCTTTTGGGGTTTTCTGGTTGTAGTAATGGTTTGTGTTGCATTGGGTTCATCTTCATATGCAAGCTTCCGTTCAGTACCTATAGTTGTTGCATCTTATTTTATTGTTACTTTTCTTTTTTTTTATCTAATATTGTTTCCTTTGGAGTAGATGTAAATATCTCTGAATGCTGTTTCTTATTGCGTTGCTACTTATTTACTGTCTGTATTCCTGATGGTCCAGGTAATGGTATCAAATCAGAAAATGAGACTCCATCTGGTTCGTGAATTTGATTTACGTTCTCCTCATGATGCTCATGAACTTCCGGGGTCACTTCATTTTCACCTTGAACAGTTAGTTACATTGTGTTTACATATTGGTATATTGGCATATTGGTATCAAGTGTTTCAATAAAATAAGAGATTTGATAGATGTGAATCTAAATGACATTCTATTCAAAAATAAATTGAAAAACTTTCTTCTTGAAAAAGTATTTTATAATGTTGAAGAATTTCATAATTCCTGATATCTCATAATTGTAAGACTGATTATTGTATGTACAATTTTTCTGGTTTGTTTGCGATTAACAATTTATTTGTAGATTACCTTCTTTTCTTTCTTGACTAGTCTGATAAGTGTTATGTATGTGTATGTATAATGCTTTGTATAATCTTTGATTGATGAATAAATTCTATTATTATTATTGGTATCAGCTGCTTGTACAGAAAAAAATGCTACAACAAGATCAAAATCTTCCTCTTTAGGCTATATTAAGGTTAGGTTAGGTCCAAAGTGAGTGGGTCTATTCGACCCACCCACCCAGGCTACGTTAAATATCTTGTCTATATCATTGGTAGTGATCCTTTCACCTACACAACTTGTTCAATACGTGCTGCACTCCGTATTATGAGAAGTTTTAGAGAAACTATAGGTTTCCAGCGTACATTACGTAGAATGGTCATCATCAATAAGTAGTAGCATCAGTCACAACAATAGAGTGCTGCTGATAGACCATTCCTCTTAAGTTGAGGGTTAATTTTTTTATGAGCAAAAATAAATAATGGTGGAACATAAATGCCAGAAGGGCTCATTGCACATATAATTGTGGTTGTTTTCTCCATTCAGTACTAATTATTGTTGAAGAAATCAATGTTCACCTCATTTGATAGATCTTGTTTCTAATGATTCCTTGGAAATGATTCTTTATTGAGTACGTTACGTTATTGTTTATATTGCAAATGTATCATTTTGATGTTGGCGATTAAAACTTGGTTCAGTAGATGTGATGCACTGTTTGGAACCTTTGGTGTAGTAATGAATATTACAGGAGTTTTTTCCCAATACCAAACACCTCGAAACCTGTTTCGATTATCGAGTGATCATGTTCAAGAGAGATCAAACTAATCCTATTGACAAAGTTATCCTTATTTATAATATAGGTACCTCTTCTAGGTACCTGCGTCTTGAGTATCTTAAATTAATTTCACAGTATTGCCTTAACTACTAGTCTTAAATCAATTTTACAATGTGTCCTTATGTATTGGTCAGGTGAATCTAATAATTGAATTATTATTTTATCAAGCTATATAAAATTAATTTCACAATATGGCCTTATCTACTAGTCTTAAATTAATTTTACAGTGTCTCCTTATGTAATAGTCAGGTAAATCTAATAATTAAATTATTATTTTAACAAGCTATATAGTATATATACTATTAGGTTCTTCATAATATTATGTTTACTTATTTCTACACTCTCATAGGCATCTAGATGCTTGTTGTTGTCTAACTTATCTTAACGAACTGAAGTCTATGGAATGGTTTTGATAGATAGATGTTGCAATATATGATGGGCTACTGCTGATTTTTCAGGTCTTCCATATTTTAAGTGTACTAAGTGTTCCTTATATCTTATTTTAATAGATATTTTTGTCTGCCCATAATATTTTGCATTGTAGTCCTTACATTTAATTTTGTAAATTCCAGACTTTTTCGAACTCTCGACTTTGCCTTTAGGACTTCCTAAAAGGCTGTATAGTGTATGACTTGTTTTAGAAACCATTTTCATACATAGTTTCTTGGTTCTTCGTGTATTGGTGGTATATTTATCTTGGTTTTTGTTGTTTTCAAAAGTCGAGATTTCTTCCATTTTTAACCTAAACTTTTTCTTTCTTATAATGTCATGTACAATATCCCTCGAGAAACTGTTAGTGGCTGCTATTTCCTGTATTGTAGGTTTTTCTGTTGTGAACCTCTCATGTGTGAGAGGATAATTCAGTCCAGCACGTTCGTGCTGTCCAAAGTGATGTGAACTGTCAGGAATATACCTGTATGTGCTTGTTTTTTTTTCTAATTACATTGTATTCTAGCCCTCCATATTGGCTCCTCATTACCAAAACGTCAAGAAATGGAAGTTGTCCTTTATTTTCTAACTCGTGCATGAATTTTATTGATGAAAATCTGTTATTTAAAAAGGAAACAAAGTCACGTACACTAGCAAATTACAATGTACGTCATTTGAAACAGTCATTCAACAAAAATGCTCTTGAAAGTTTTTGTCAAGATCTAACTAACAAGAACTGGTTGGCTATTCTGAATTTTTCAGATGTTAATTCTGCTTTCTGTCATTTTTGGGAAATATTCTTATAATTTTGATAAACATTTTGCAAAAAAGTATGTGCATTATTGCAGTAAGAGAAATGAATGGGTTTCAGATGAATTAGGAAAGTCTAGTCAAAACCTCAAAGATTTACTCAAATTGGCACTGAGTAATAGATTCCTGATAGGATTTTACAATGAATTGGTTTTTTCTCAATCCGTGTTCTGAATTAGAATTACTTAACGTATTACAGCTAAACTGAAAAATAAATCTTCATGAGGGTATGACGAGGTCCCTATGTTTGTTTTGGAAAAACTCTCCCATCTCTTATTTCTTCTCTTACACATATTGTTAGATTTACTCAAATTGGCACTGAGTAATAGATTCCTGATAGGATTTTACAATGAATTAGTTTTTTCTCAATCCGTATTCTGAATTAGAATTACTTAACTTATTACAGCTAAACTGAAAAATAAATCTTCATGGGGGTATGACGAGGTCCCTATGTTTGTTTTGGAAAAACTCTCCCATCTCTTATTTCTTCTCTTACACATATTGTTTCAATTTATCTCTCTCAACCGGAAGATTTCTAAATCTGCTTAAAACTGGTGCCAATTCATAAAAATGGCGATCTGCAGATTGTAAAAAACTATCGACCAATCACAGTCCCGTCAAACTTTTCAAAAATATTCGAGTATGCCTTCTTTAATAGGTTATTGGCATACTGCAATAGGTTTAAAATCTTCTCCAATAATCAGCACAGATTCCTAAATGAAAAACTCAGTTGACAGCAGTTGACTCGTATTACGAGAAACTGGTGAACTTGATAGATACGGGTGAGAACCCTGTTGGAATCTTTTGAGATCCCATTAGGGCATTGGATTGGGTTGATAATAGTATTTTACTAGATAAAATTCAGAGATACGGAATAAGGGACATTCCCCACCCTTGGCTGCACAGCTTCCTCTGTTCAAGAAGCCAGTTCGTTTCTATCGACAATGTTGTGTCTACAAAACGAGCAGTCACAATTGGTGTCCCTCAAGTCTCGGTTTTGGGACCTATTCTTTTTATGTTACACCTGAATGATTTGGATGACCTACCAGTTCAGTCATCTTTCACTATGTACCCAGATGATACGTCACTGATCATTTCAGATAAATCAGACAAACTTCTGTCAGGTAAATCTGTTTAAAATCTGTTCAAAATCTGTTTTTTCGTTATCAGGTGTCGCCCCCATAACTCTCAGAAGTGAAACTTGTGCGAGCTAAGGACTAACGAGGTCTTACCTTTTAACGTGTGATTCCTAACACGGTTGCAGAATCATCCCAGCTTCAACCAGATAAATTCTCTCGAGAAAAATATCTGGTCGAGACAGGAATCGAACCCACGGTCTTCTGATCGTGAGTCGGGCGTACTACCACCGCGGCCAATTCCACAACTGCAAATGCAATGAGACTTTCTAGTATGTAAAGGATTGGTTCAGGGCAAACCTCTTTTACCTGAACATGGAAAAAACTAAATCCGTTAGATTTCATAATCGTCAGAAAAGCTGTTCCGATGTGATAATATCAACAGAAATTTGCGTTAATGTAGAAATTGTTCAACAAGTC